TTTAACATTAGGAGTGCTATTTGTAAGTGGCTAAGAGACAATTTTGGAAATATTTGATTTTGGCAAATTTCTTAAAGAAAAGCTTTCTAATACAACACTTGTCAAGAAATTAAATAAAAATCAATGACAATTTATTGTTTGTTTGCAAATCTAATTCTTTGTTAAATTAAAATCAGTTAAGTAATTGTATATTAATATGTAAAATCTAATTTATATCATAATAGGTAAGAAAATATATCAATCATAAGATTATGCATAATGATCATGCTTTTTTATACCATTTCTGCAAAAATGTGTCCTACTGGACATGGGTACTAGAGTGACAAACTGTCCCATTGTGCCTGGCTCTGAAGGGTTCCAGGGACATGGGACCTTTCAGTACTAAACCTGGGACAGACCCAAGCAAACAAGGGCAATTGGTAACCTTACTGTAACAGGTAATATTTTATATACATACAATGGATTATCAATTAGTCAGACGTAAATTTTTCTCTCCAAATAACTTGAGTTATCTTACAAAATTATGTTACTATGTCATAACATAGCAATATCCTCAAAACTATTCTGGTGAGTGAAACTGTGCCAGTACGCTAGACTAATCCAGCATAATGGTATTTCTTTTTAGATAATTCATCTTGTTTTTACATATTTCTTACTTCTTCCTTTTGCTGACACCTATATATTCCGAAATTTATTAAATGCTATTGGTTGGTCAAAGAAAAATAGGATATGAATCTTCCTGAGAATTTACAAAATGTATTTTCCGAGTATAATCTATAAGCACTTTGGAAAGTATAAAATGAATGGTTTCTTTAGTTAAAAACTCTTTTTTTTTTTTTTTTTTTTTTTTTAACTCTATAGACCAGCTCATATCCTGCTGGTTAAGGCTGCAGGATCCCACCTGGCTGATCTCACAGTTTGAGTCCCAGACTTGGTAGCCTGAAAAACATGCCGGCCACATGTGCGTGTGTGTGCCCAAAATCCTGAAAGAAGGGAGAAATGGAGGAGAACGGATTGCAACGTTACCATGCCCAGTGGGGGTTCTTTCTCATTTTCCCTCTCTGTCTCTCTCTGTAGTGAGCATAAGCCTCTGGCAAATTTTAAAACAAGAGAACAACAACAAAAACTACTGGAGTAGGATAAAATTGGGCGATCAACCAATAATACACAAAGGGGTTCAGGTAGTAGGGCAGCAGTAATGCAATCTCTGTGAGGCTGCTCCGCAGAGGAAGGGTCCATGTTCACATTCCAAGATTTCTCTGAGCACACCAGGGATGTGTATGCCTAGGATCAGAGGCTGGCCGAGGTTGAGGGTAGATCACGATGCGAGGAGCCTGTCGGAGCTGCCTG